CTTCTGCCACTTAGACCCTACTCCAATCCGACTACTCTGACTCCTGGACCCTTCTGTCTGTCTCTCAGGTTCTGCTGGCTTTTAAAACATCCTCTCCTGTTCTTAAAACTCTAAGAGTCAACTGACACTAAAGGTTATAGAGTCAAGCAGTCCTAACTTAAGCAGTTACAAAATGTCAGTTGACTAGCCTTTGGGGATCCATTAAAGGGCCAGAAACAGTGAAGTGGGAAGAAGCCAGGGATGACTTCTTTCTGCTCCCAGGAATGGGTAGCAGGGGATTGGACAAAGGGCAGAGCTTATATAGGATTTCTTAGGGGCAGAGCTTTTCAGGGCAGAGATTTCCAGAGTGAGGATTTGAAGTGGGAACTTAAGGGTTCTTTGAAAAGTCAGTTGTGTTGGAGGGTGTTTTGCTGGGGCAAGCACGTGAAGGAGTGTTTTCCTGAAGCAGACATAAGTGAAAGACTAAGGTAGACTCCTAAAGGAATGTCTAGCTGAAGCAGACACAGGAGAGAAGAGAGGATGTTCTTTGCTAGAGCAAGCACGTGAAAGGACATACAATGAAGGATTCTTTGCTAACAACACACATGTATTGGTCTGCCTTACATTGCATGGTTGAACTGCATTTGTCAGGACTCTATAGAGAGAAATGCATCAAAAAACCATGCTGAAGTGCCATGGTTTCTTGCCACTTCCATGGACTTGGGCTGACTGGCAGAGTGATGTCAGCTGAAATAGATGCGCGTGCCGAAGACCCGTGGAGGACACGTGATGTTTGGAAAGAGTATAAAAAGGACTCGATGGACAGTAATGGAGGCTGAGCTAGCTGCACAACACTTGTTGGTCACATTTCTTTGCTGATCTTTGCTTCCCTGAGAGAGGCACAGTTGAGAACTTCCCTGGTATGCCTTCTGGTCCCTCACGCTGACTCATGTGGAGGCTGAGGCCTGGCTATCTCTGCTGGGTAGTGCCATGCTGCTGATTTGTGTTGGATTTCCTAACTCTCTGGTGTACCCTTGAAGTATTTGCGAGTGGATCCAGCTGCTGCTGCTATCCTGTGAACTGAACTGCCAATTTCCAGACAACACAGATGGGAGTTGTGCCAAAGAACCTTTTTAAATGGGTCCATTCTACCCCCAACAACTCCCACCCCGTATCCTTTCTTTTCCACTACCTCTGGTGGGTTGTGGGCTACGAGGGAGATTAAAGTGCTTAAGAACCAACATTAAAAATACGTTTTGAAAAAATTAAAGTTACAAGGATTGGTGAGATTTCAAATCCTCAGCTTGGGGGACTCAGGTATTGGTAGGTTTTTGTGGGAAGTTCTGGGATTGGTGGGTTTTCCTGCTTAGGGATTGGGGGCTTTTTTTTCACCCCTTTCTCCCTGCATTGGGCCCATGGGTTAGAGCGGGACATTGTTTCTGTCCACAAGCGGCTTTCGCTGAGGCTCCATCTCTGTGCTGCTCAGGGTGGCTGAAGAGGAGATGCTGCCACCGTGGACAGCTCCTGTGATGGCTGCAGGCTGTGGGGATGTCCTGGTAACACCATTTCAACAGGAGCTACCATCTTTGACAGCTCCTGCAAGGGCACGTGGCTGTAGGCTGGGGTGGGAAAGAGAGGCTAGCTACTACTTGGACAGATTTTGCACGCAGCTTAGGGACTACATTGGGATTAAAGGCATGGACCACCACTGCCCAACCTTGATCTGGATCTTGAGGTGGGAAAGCACAGCTTTAATCTGGGGCCCACCTTCTCCTGGAAGCCAATATGTAAGGACATGGAAGAAGGAAGCTTTTGCTCTCTGCCTGCTTTTTCTGGTCTTGCTAGGAAGTCCATTCCTTCACTGGCATTAGAGCCTGCTTCTCTGGGATCCCAGCGTCAGGATTCCAGCATCTACTGATGACCAGCTAAGACATCCAGCCTTATGGACTGAGCAACTTCTGGATTCTCAGACTTTCTGTTCATAGCCAGCCATTGTTGGAGTAGCTGGACCCTAGCCCGTAAGTCATTCTAATAATCCCCTTTCTATATAATATATAATATAGACAGAGAGATTCGTTCTATAAATTCTGCTATTCTAGAGAACCCTAACGCGATTCTCCATTGTTTGTTTCCCATATGGACACTGGATCCTGTCTACAATCCTTCCTCTGCTTAAACTCCTCCCAAGGCTCCCTTCCACCTCAGCTCCCAAGCCAGAGTCCTTGCCATGGTGTCTAGGATCTGCTCTTTCTGTGTCTCGTTGCCAGGCTGCTCCCTCCCCCTCCCTCTTCCGTGTTCCTTGTTTGCCTAGTTTACATGAGGCCTTGGGACCTATCCTCAGCACTAAATAAAACAACAGGTGTTGATACAAATATGTAAGACCAGAGCACAGAGGAGGGTCAGGAGTTCAGGGCCATCTTCAGTTACACAGTGAAGGCTAGCCTAGGCTACATGAGGCCCTGTCTCAAAAAAAAAAAAACAATTGCAAAACTTTTCCCCTCATTGCTTGCTGTGCCTATAAGTCCCTGTGTAAGTCTCTGATTTTAATTATATGCTTCCAAATGTCCTCCTTTACCCTTAGGATTACACTATGGGGGGTACATTCTTAAGGTCTGGGGTTCCTTCTCTGCAAAGAGGAGACTTTGATGAACAAAACAGATGAGTTCTCCACTTTTATGCAGTATACATCTTATACACAGAGATGGTCACAAAAGAAAGACTGAATAGGACAGGGTGAAGCACACCCATCATTCCAGCGCTCAGGAGGCCTGCGGTGGGAGGATGATGAGATGGAGCCCGGGCAAACAAGAAAGCTCTTGTCTGAAATACATGAATAAGCAAATAAAGAAAATATTGAGCAACAGTGCTCACTCTTTGGAGGAACACAGACAGGAAAGGAGGGTGTGGAGGAAGCTGCTTTTAGAAGCAAGGTCAGAGATGACAGCTTCAGTGCAGTAATATTTGAGTGGGGGAAAAAAAAGTGAGCTGCACGGAGAAGCCTGAAGAGGAAGCACTGTCAGAAGAGGAAGCAGAGAACTCAAAAGCTGCCTACAACCCAGCCTGGTTTATATATTTTTATATATACTTTTCAGTAATTTTTTTTTGCACCAAGTTTTCTCAAGTTATAGATGGGGAAACTGAGGCTCAGTTTCCCAGTGATTGGCAAATCGAGGAGTACTGAGTAGTTTTCTCTGGAGTCTTTTCTTATCCATTTAGTCATTAATTCAACATTTGTGGGTCTGTAGAGGGCTTTAGGGAGACACAAAATCGATCAGCACAAAACTGGTCCGTAGCTTAAGGCTGCTGGGGTAAGATCTGATTACTTATTAGTGAGTTATAGTGACAGAGTGATCATATCACTTTTTTATTAATTTAATTAGGTTTTTTTTTTTGTTGTTGTTGTTTTGTTTTTCGAGACAGGGTTTCTCTGTGTAGCCCTGGCTGTCCTGGAACTCACTCTGTAGACCAGGCTGGCCTCGAACTCTGGAACTCAGAAATCCGCCTGCCTCTGCCTTCCAAGTGCTGGGATTAAAGGCTTAATTAGGTTTTTGAGATGGTCTAAGTATGTAGTCCTGGATGACCTGGAGCTCATTATGTAGTCCAGGATGGCCTTGAACTTACAGAGATTCACCTCCCTTTGCCTCCCAAGGGCTGGAATTTAAGGCGTGCAACAGTCACAGGACTGTTTTAATAGTGTTTGAGCTCCCTTGCTGACCCGAAACTTTGACTTTCTAGCAGTTCTGGGTGTACAGGGCTGTAGAGAGGACACGGGTAGGGACTGCCACTTACCTGTAACCCCACCCCTGGCCTCTAGAGGGCGTCGAATCACCCAAAACACTGCCTGAAGCAAGGTGCCCAAGAGCGCTTTGTGGGATGGGCATTGGCCCGCCCGCTACTCCCTATTGGGCTTCATTGTACTGAGAGGCGAGGTCGCGCTTTAGCGGTCTGCGCCTGCGCAGTCTGGAGCGGTCCCTGCGCAGGCGCAGACCATTTAGGACCGGAAGTTGAGGCGTCCGTGGAGGTAAGGGGCGGGGCGTGTGTGCGGGGTGTCTGCGTGGCTGTGGTGCCTTCTGTAGGGCGTGTTTGGGGCTGGTTCCGAGCAGCCCGGGAGTTAAGAGAACCCCAATATAATGAAGGAATGTGCCAGGACCCAGGGAGCTCTGGCTATGCGCGATTCTTAGTGAGAAGCTGAAGTACCAAGAGACCCGGAACTGAATCTAGTGGCGGCACAGAGGGACCAAGGGACTGGGAAAGGGAGAGAGAAGGGGACCAGGGTGATGGGTTACCTCCAAGAGAGGCTCACAAGGGCGCCAGGAGCATATTGGCAAGAAACTCTGGATGGTGGTGTGACCCACAGTTATGGAAAGATGGAGTTTGAAACAGAACTTTAAAAGTTGGAGGTGATGGGACAGTCGTGCTTAAAAATGACGAAATGCACCCCAAATTCGCATTCCTCGTACTGCTTATTTAGCTTAGCAAAATAGTGTGGAAATAGTGTTTTCTTAGTGTTGTGAGAAAGTGAACAAATATGTATACTCACGTGATTGAGACTACACAGACAAAAATATCCGAGTGGTAACCTGTAAAGAAAAAGACCATTGGTAGATAAAAGTATTGACTGGAGAACTGTAAACATACGTAGAAGCCAGGAGCTAGGTGTGGAATCTGAGCACAGGAGGCTGAAGCAGGAGGATTGTGAGTTAAAGGCCAACCCAGACTACATAGGATGACTGTTGTCTCCAGAAATAAATAAATCTGAGAAACGGTGGAAACAAAATGGAGAAGGTAGAGGAAGTCAAATGGAGGTCTGAGGAAGAGAGAAAAGAGAGAGAGAGAGGGTGGGGGTGAGATAGATAGATAGATAGATAGATAGATAGATAGATAGATGTGTTGGGAAGATGGCTTAGTAAACAATACTTGGACATAATGGTGCTTACCTGCGATCCCAGCACTTGGGTGTGACTGGATGGTGAGTTCAAGGTCAGGCTGAACGACATGAGACCCCACCTCAAACAAAACCCAAATCAAGTGAAGGAATGCTTGAGGGAAGAGACTCCTTGGTGGCCATGGACACTGATGTTGGACCTAGCCTAAGTGGGCATTCTGTTGCCTAAAAGGAGCTCTCTCCTTTTTTACTGTCCTCATCTTTTCTTGAGGATCACTGGCTTCATCTTCATCTTTTCCTCATTCCCTTGTAGAATAGAGTTCTCTGAGTCCTGTCATCACCAAGCTTCAGTCTTTACTCAGAAGTGTACTCTGCACAGTGTCTGCTGTGTCTGTGGGAATCACCCCACCACTTCACAAGATCTTCCTCACTGGACACTCAAAGGTAGCTCTAACGACTCCCAGGAGGGGACCAAGTCCCTCCCACCCCTGTGACTGCATAGGGCAAACCTCTGGACTCTTTCTCGATGGCCCTTGAGAGAATGAAGGCTGACTTGGTGGGTTCGCTAATGTCATCAGGAGATGATTCATGGCTTTTTGGGTTATTCTCCCCCCAGGTTGGATGCTCTTGTGCCTTTGCTGTTTTCCATCTGTTGGGGAGAAAGCTTTGAACCGGAGTAGTAGTGGCTATTTGTCCTCCTTGCCCGTGCTTTTGATATTTGATGATACTGCCCCCATTTTATAGATGAAGAAAACGACTTCAGGTAAATTTACTTGCTCGTGGTAAATGGTCAGATTCAAACCCGCTTGTTTCCAGGTTCTTTAACAATGAAGTATGTGAGCCCTTAACATCATAACCAACCCCCACTTATTAAATTTTATTTATTTGTGTGTGTGTGTGTGTGTATAGGAAAACTTGAGGGAGTCAGCTCTTTGCCCCCATATGGATTCCAAGATTCAAACTCTGTTTACCAGACTTGATGGCAAATGCCCTTATTCACTGAGCCATCTCATTGTCCTTATAAATCCTTTTAAGAAAGAAGAATGAGGGGCTGGAGAGATGGCTCAGCAGTTAAGAGCATGGGCTATTCTTCTAGAGGATCTGGGTTCAATTCCCAGTACCCACATGGTGTTTCACAACTGCCTATGAGTCCAGTTCCAAGGGGATCTGACTCCAAGGGCGTCAGGCATCAGTGTGGTATAGACATACATGCTGGCAAAACACCATACACAGAACAAGATACATCTTTTAATAAGAAGGAAGAATGAAGAATTTCCCTCCATAAAATTGTCATTCAGCTTCATGTGCTTCATTGTGGTTTTTCTTCAACTGATAGACAAGACTCTGACTTTAAGCAGAATGGCTCAGTGGCAGAGCACTTGTGTATCATGTGTTAGGGATTGGGTTCTGTCTCAACACTGTAGGAAGCAGAAGGCATTTTCTTACCTAGCCAAGAAGTAGAGGGTTGACAGGAACTAAGCCATGAACACTAATGATATCATCAGGTGTCTCCCACACCCCCTCACAGTGGCAATCCCTGTGTGTTCCCATTGTGTCTACATGCAGGGTTTTGTCTAACGTACATATCTAGGAAAGACTTATGCCCCAGAGCTACTCTGAATGGGTTCAGGTTTAACCCGACTTGTCTAGTTAGATAAAAACAGAGGGCTTCTCTCTCCTAGCAACCAGGTGTAAATTCCAGAGTAGGGACCTGACTGGGTCTTGTGTCCAATTCCTCAGGTCACAAAGAATACCATGGCTGGTCAGGCCTTTGTTGTTTGCCTAAACCATGAGAGCCATATGTATGAGGTGAGCTGTTCTCTGAAGGAAGATGGGAACTTACCAGGCAAAGCATGGCATGTGCCAGGCAGGCAAAACCAATCCCTAGCATCACAGATAGATTCCATTCAATTTCCAGGGACTACATTAAATGTTGTGAAGCCCGATGGACCCAGATGAAAAGTCTGTTCCCTATTTTTGTTGTTTTTGTCTTCCTTCTTACAGGATTCTCCTGTCGATTGAACATGTGACCAACATGTAGTAGCATTAAAAGCCTCCTCCTCTTCCTCCTCCTCCTCTTCCTTCTCCTCCTCCTCTTCTTCCTCTTCCTCCTCTTTCTTCTCCTCCTCCTCCTCCTCTTCCTCCTCTTCCTTTTCCTCCTTTTCCTCCAGTGCTTGAAGAGTAGCAGGCTTTTAACTGATGTTCTAAAAGTAAATGGATATCTTCTCTTTTCTTCTCCAAACATCCAGGTCCTAGAAGTCCAGAATGAACCCTTGTCCTTTCCAGAGATCACTGCAGGAGCCATGAAGTGCTTTGTGCGTCTCCACCTACCCACCAGGCCCCTGGCTACCTACCCTGCCATCCACAGTGCCCCTGTATAAGGAAGGGGAGGTCACTCTTTGAAGAGAAAGCGGTTCCTGGGGGCGGGAGTTAGGTGAGAATACTTGGTCTAAGTGATCAGAACGGAGACTACTTCTGTGACAGCACTTCGATAGGAACTATGCCTCCTCCCAGGACAAGGGAGGGGAGGGATCGCCGAGATCGAGACCACCATCGAGCTCCCAGGGAGGAAGAGGCCCCGGAGAAATGGGACTGGAACTGTCCAGAGACTCGTTGCCTCTTGGAAGATGTATTCTTCCGCGATGAGGACTATATCTGTCGTGGTTCAGAGGAGTGTCAGAAGTTCTGGGCTTTCTTTGAACGCCTGCAGAGATTCCAGCACCTCAAGACCTCCCAGAAGGAGGAGAAGGACCCTGGGCGTCCCAAACAAGCCGTTGCTGCTTTAGCTGATCTGCCTCGCACTTACGACCCACGCTATCGCATCAACCTCTCCATTCTCAGCCCGGACACTCGGGGTCGTCATGGGCCCGGCAGAGGGCTGCCCACCGAGAGGGTGTCGGAGTTCCGTCGTGCACTGCTTCACTACCTAGACTTCCAGCAGAAGCAGGCTTTTGGGAGGCTCGCCAAACTGCAGCATGAGCGTGCGGCGCTTCCCATCGCCCAGTATGGGAACCGCATCCTGCAGACTCTCAAGGAACACCAGGTGGTGGTGGTGGCCGGGGACACAGGCTGCGGCAAGTCCACTCAGGTGCCCCAGTACTTACTGGCTGCCGGCTTCAGTCACGTGGCTTGCACTCAGCCCCGGAGAATCGCCTGCATCTCACTGGCCAAGCGCGTTGGCTTCGAGAGCCTCAGTCAGTATGGCTCCCAGGTGAGCAGCACACCAGGTTCCTGGGTTTTCCACTGTGGAATGGTTAATAGTCCTCGTGGCAGTGTGCATAAAAGTTAACACTTAGGCACTGAACCAGAGATGATTCTTCTAGAACATGTCTCTACAGATGAGCTTGTACAGGGTCCAAATGATAAGAGGCTGCTAGCATCAACCAGTATAGCACCTTAACAGCTAGACAGACGGGAGCCTCCGTCATGCTCATTTCCTGTCAGCCATTAAAGACAGGTTGTTGTTGTTGTTTTATGTGTGTGTGTGTGTGTGTGTGTGTGTGTGTATCTTCATCCCTGGCCTGTTGCTGTCCTCTAAGCTCTAGAATGCTTGAATTTCATTTTGAGACAGGGTCTCACTGTGTAGACCAGGCTGGCCTTGAACTTACAGAGATCTGCCTGCCTCTACCTCCCAAGTGTTGGAATTAAAGACATGTGCCACCACACCTGACAGCCTCTAGGATTCTAATCCTGTCTCTACCACTTTCTGCTGTTGCATTTATTTATTTTTATTTTTTATTTATTATGTATACCTGTGTGCCAAAAAAGAGCACCAGACCCTATTACAGAAGGATGTGAGCCACCATGTGGTTGCTGGGAATTGAACTCAGGCCCTCTGGAAGAGCAGCCAGTGCTCTTAACCACTGAGCCATCTCTCCAGCCCCTGCTGTTGGGTTTATAATGCAACGCTCTTCGGCCTTTTCTCCCGTGTCCCTTCTCCTTGTTCTTCCTATGGTTAGTACACTTTGAGTCCTGTTTTGAGAATTTCTGCCCACTTTTAGGCTATGAAAAAGTACTCCTGTCGGGCAGTGGTAGTACAAACCTTTAATCCCAGCACTAGGGAGGCAGGCAGAGGCAGGCGGATGTCTGTGAGTTTGAAGTCAGCCTGGTCTACAGAGCTAGTTCCAGGACAGCTAAGGCTATACAGAGAAACCCTGTCTCAAAACAACAACAACAACAACAAAAACAAAACAAAACAACAACAACAAAAAAACTACTCCCCTCCCCAAAGAACGGCACTTAAAGCCAGAGTTCATCAAGAAGGTGTGGGTGTATGTGGAGGTATGAGTGTATGGTGTGTGTGTTACTGATGTGTATGTATGAGGAATGTGTGTGTGTGTGGTGTGGTTGTGTGTGTATGTGGAGGGCATGGGTGTGTGTATGGGGAAGATGTGGTCTAGTGTGAGGTCAGGGTTAAGAAGTATTTCTCAGTGTTGTTTCAGCTGTTACCTGGATAAATGGCTGTGTTCCCTCACGTGGAGTCAAGATAGGGCGGTGGGGTGAGGGTCAAGTGAGCTATGCACTCACAGCATTCTGGTAGTGTTTCTGGTGCATAATAAAGACTCAAAGAGGGGCTGGAGAGTTGGCTCAGTGGTTAAGAGCACTGACTGCACTTCCAGAGGTCCTGAGTTCAAATCCCAGCAACCACATGGTGGCTCACAACCATCTGTAATGAGATCTGATGCCCTCTTCTGGTGTGTCTGAAGACAGCTACAGTGTATTCATATAAAATAAATAAATAAATCTTTAAAAAAAAAAAAAAGACTCAAAGAAAGGGGAAATCATAACTGTTAGGATTCCTGTCCATTGCTCTGATAACAGGAACTGCGTCAGACATGGCGAGAGCATAACCACATGTAGTCTCATGCATCCAGGGGAGGAAATCTAGGACACCCTGTGTGCCAAGCAGAACCAGAACTCCACACCAATCACACAGGACTCCAGTCTGACCAGCAGCCACGGCTCTGCCTCAGACTTGCATGTAGGACAGGGAGGAACCCTGGTACTACGCCCTCTGTCGTGTTCTCTCTTGACCTGACACTTTCCTTCCTCCCACCCCAGGTTGGCTACCAGATCCGCTTTGAAAGCACTCGGTCAGCAGCCACCAAGATCGTGTTCCTGACGGTGGGGCTGCTCCTACGGCAGATCCAGCGGGAGCCCAGTCTGCCCCAGTACCAGGTCCTGATTGTGGATGAGGTCCATGAGCGACACCTGCACAATGACTTCCTGCTGGGTGTCCTGCAGCGCCTGCTGCCCCAGCGGCCTGACCTCAAGGTCATCCTCATGTCTGCCACCATCAACATCTCTCTCTTCTCTAGCTACTTCAGCCACGCTCCTGTGGTGCAGGTGCCTGGGAGGCTCTTCCCCATCACGGTGAGCACCGCTGCGGCCTCCCTAGACTCGGGCTCCTACTCTCTGTGTGGCCGGCAGCCCCTCTTGTTAAAGCATCTGGTCCCTCAATGTTCCAACCTTTAGGGTCTGCTAGGGGAGAGGCATATTTTTCTTTTAGGAAATACAGCTCTTCCAGAGGGAAAGACCACTCTGTGTTACACAGTCCTTCAGGGCCTCAGGCTTCTCACGACTCTACCACGTTGCAGGGCAGGGCTCTCACAGGCAGGCTTGAAGTTTTGGACTGGATGGTCTGTCATCATAGGACCTTTAAGTGCATCTCCCCCTCTCTATACAGATGTGTCCTCCTCCCCTCCCCCTGTTGGTGTATCCAGATGTTGCTGTTGTGTAGAGAGGAGGCTCTGTCCTTGTTGGTGTAGTCAAGCGGTCGGGCAGGACCTCAGTGTTGCTGGTAGTCTGTGGGTTCACATGCATGTGTATGCTTCCTAAGAAGTACTGGGCATGGCCCTCTCTGGCTCAGCTCTTCTTGCTCAGGGTACCATTCCCTAAGAGCACACGTGCGCTTCAGTTAACACACCTTTGTAGTTGGCACCTGGATCTTAAAACCTCTAGCACTGCCAGTACCCAGAAACCTTTGCATCACCTCATTGCTTTTTTTTGTTTGTTTGTTTCGAGACAGGATCTCTCTGTATAGCCCTGGCTGTCCTGGAACTTACTCTGTAGACCAGGCTGGCCTCGAACTCAGAAATCCGCCTGCCTCTGCCTCCCAAGTGCTGGGATTAAAGGCGTGCGCCACCACCGCCTGGCAACCTCACTACTTTTTGATGTTACTATCTCCTCTAAAAGTTACCCACGTTGAGTGTGCCACCTACCAACCAGAACCCCTCCCCCCGCCCCCGTGAGCCCGTAGCCCCTGCCTGCTTGCTGCCCCAGAGTGATAGCATGTTGCTGAACTTTGCTCTCTCACAGGTAGTATACCAGCCGCAGGAGGCAGAGCAGACAGCATCCAAGTCAGAGAAGCTGGACCCACGGCCTTTCCTGAGGGTGCTGGAGGCCATCGACAATAAGTATCCCCCCGAGGAGCGGGGGGACCTCCTTGTCTTCCTCAGTGGCATGGCAGAGATCAGCACAGTGCTGGACGCTGCCCAGGCTTATGCCAGCCTCACCCAGCGCTGGGTGGTGCTGCCGCTACACAGTGCCCTCTCTGTGGCCGACCAGGACAAGGTACTGAGTGCAGCCTGCAAAGCAGGGTGGGCGGGAGTCTCTAGGCCAGGAAGCATGTGTGGCTACACTGGTTGTATCCCCCAACCCCAGGTCAGTGGGTTTCTATGCATGTGGTCACATGGCCATCAAGTGGCCAAGTAGCCTGTAAACCCTGGATATTTGGTCCTGGGGATCTTAGCCAGAAGTTGGCAGATTTTCTGTGAAAGACCAGAAGGAGAGGCTTTCAGGTTTGTAGGCCATAGGCGCTCTCACCGAATTCCAGTGACATCTTATGCTCAAGGACATGTGGCAGGCTGGATGTCATCATAGCTGTTGATCTTAGCCATTAAGCTTAGCTGTTTCCAAGCACCAAGACTTATGCAAAAGGGGCTTTGGTGGCAGTGTGAAGGAGTCAGGAGACATGGGACTGACAAAGAGTGTGGGGCTTTGTCCTGAGCACATGAGGGAGCCATAGGAAAGCTCTGAGCAGGGAGGGGAGCATATGGGGATGGGTTGGAACGTGTTCCTGTTCTGCTAGAACCAGGAAGATGGAGGGTGGAGACAGAGGGCCTGGACTAGGGAAGGAGCCAGGGCTTAGGGGCGGTGTAGTTGAAGGGATGTTTTAAGAAACATTCAGGGCCTGAGGAGCTGAGGGAGGGAGGCCTGGGATGGCTCAGGTGATGTGTGGTGAGGTAGGCACCCAGGAGTGTTCGTGCAGAGGCTGTATTAGGCCATGGGTGAAGTATGCCTGGAACACAGGAGGCCACTGGAACAAGCAGGTCAGTCAGGGCTGAGTTAGCTCCTGACGTGATCTCCTCCCCTGCCCCAGGTGTTCGACGTGGCTCCAGCTGGAGTGCGGAAGTGCATCCTGTCCACCAACATTGCCGAGACCTCAGTCACCATCGATGGCATCCGCTTCGTGGTGGATTCTGGTGAGGATGGCACTCTGCCCACGCCTCACCACCAAGAGGACATGGGAGGAAGACAGGCATACATAGAGATGTGGCCGTGGAGCTCTAGACCCCTGCAGGGAGGGAGTGGTACTGAGCTGTGGAGCCCAAGCAGTACCTCGGCAACCCCCACATGTTCCAAAGACTTACATAGGGCCCCAGGGCCTTTGTGCTTACTGATCTCCTGCTGGGCTCTATCCCTTTCTAGATAGCCCTGCCCCAGCTTTCTCAGGGCCTGCACATGTGTTCACACCCGATAATCACCCCCTGCTTCCACAGTTACTTTAAATCCACGGCTCTGTTTATTTTCTGTGTTCCCAGCGGGAGGATTCACCGGTACAGCCTAGCATAGCTGCTGAGATGTGCCAGAGCCGACCAGTGGGGTCTGGTCGTCGACACTTTTGTAAGATGCGAATGGTAACAACACTGCCCTCAGGTTGCAAGGAGGAATAGACTGGTTCTCGTGGGCGTAGGGGCAGTCAGTACAGTGTGAATCCCCAAGAGCATTAGGACTTAGTGGGCATGGCAAGTAAAACATCCCATAATATCATGTATCATGAAGACATTGTTTAAGTGCTGTTAGTTAGACACAGCAAGCTCTTGGCTTTGAGGCAGTAGAATGTGGCAACAATAATGGATTGTGTGGCTGTGTACTTGGTCCTGGGAGACCAGCATCAATGGCTACACCTGCGCCTGTGTATAATAGCTGCTTACTTAATCAGGGTGTGTGGGATGACAGCTCCATCTGAAGGAGCAAAGATCAGGGAAAAAAAAAAGGTAAAAAAGGGGCGTGTGTGTCAGCCAGCCTTCTACCTAACAGACCTGGCATCATGGCTTCTGCAGAGATGTGCCTGGCCGTGGCTTCTGTCCCTGGGGACCCTGGGGACCCTGGGACTTTGGGCCTGTGGTACAAAGTGTGAGTGTGTGACAGCATGATAGCTCACTCAGGACCAGGAAGCAAAAGGGGGTGGAGCCAGAGCTTGGTGAAGCCCTACTGTCCCCTTCACATCGCAGTGACACGAAGTCCTCCCACCGGTCCCACCTCGGAAGGGTTGGGGTGCAGCATATGCTGAGCACTCTTTATCCATGGTCTGGAAGTCAGCAGGATGTTGGGGCAGGTCTAGAATATTCTCTCAGGAGCTGTGGTGAAGAGTGGCGTGTGTGGGGTTGAGCTGGTGTCCAGCTGGGCTTTGTGCTGCTGCGCATGCTCAGTGCCCTCCTCAGCACCCGCTCCTACCCTCTCTCCACCCAGGGAAGGTGAAGGAAATGAGCTACGACCCGCAGGCTAAACTGCAGCGGCTGCAGGAATTCTGGATCAGCCAGGCCAGCGCCGAGCAGCGCAAGGGCCGAGCGGGCCGCACGGGCCCGGGTGTCTGCTACCGCCTCTATGCCGAGTCTGACTATGATGCCTTTGCCCCGTACCCAGTCCCGGAAATTCGCAGGGTGGCCCTGGATGCACTGGTGCTTCAGGTGAGGCCTGCTGACCTCGCTGCAGGAGAGGAGTCCAGAGGGGTTTTGACCAAGTCAGGGCTGTCCACGCTCAGGTTGAAGAATTGTTCCTCAGATCCAAGGGCACATTCAGGGCTTTGGCTGCTGGAAGCAGAGCTTTTGACACCGGATTCCTTAAAACATTTAAGCCATGACCTTTGTCACGTACTGTAGCTTTTGGTTTAGTTTCTGTGACAGAGGTCCTCATGGGACGGCCAGCAGAGCTCTCTTGCTCTCACTGAGTAGATCTCTGTGTGTATGTGGCTTGTCTGGAACTTGCTACGTAGCCCAGGCTTGCCTGTGTGTGTGTGTGTGTTTGTGTGTGGTAGTGGTGGTTTGAGGCATGGTTTCTGTATTCTGTAGCCCTGACTCAGTTGTGAGTCCTAGAACTCAGAGAGAGAGATCTGCCTTCCTCTGCCTCCTGAATGCTGGGATTAAAGGAGTGTGGGACCACACCCAGCTCCTCTAGGCCGGCCTCCTGCATTTGTCTCCCAATTGCTGGGATGAGGCATACATCCCTCTCCTCACAAGACTTTCCTGGGAGAAGACTCTGGAGTGAGAACAGCTGGGGGTGGAACTCTGATACAAAACCCAGCAGTGCTCAGTTTGCTGCCTTGTCACCTTTCGGAAGGCCGGGCTGCGTATGCATCTGTCATCCAAGCACAGTCAAGACCGAGTAGCAAGGGTGTAGAGTATCGTGTCAGGACTGAGGCCAGAGCTTAGCTAGAGAGCCTCGCTTGAGTACAGTGCTTAGCCCCATCCTCAACACTGTGCAGACCCAGCATGGCGGCCGCACTTAGCATCCCAGCACTCTGGGTCAGGTTCATTTCCGGCTCCATAGTGAGTTGAGGTCAGGCTGCTCTGTCTTAAAATGGAAGCGTAGAGAGAGTTGGGAGTGTAGCTCAGACCTAGGACCCTGGATTCATTGTCAAAGATTGAAAGAAAAAGAAGACAGGAAGCAAGGGAGGCAGCCACCCATACCTGCTGTGTTTCCCACATAGTCCAGGGGTGTCTGGGACAGATCCTCTGACCCACGGCTGACTTATCCAACTGCCAGTTAAAATGACAGCAGCCTACCAGGGGCAATGGTACATGCCTGGGTGCACATAGAATTTGAGGCCAGTCTGGGCTATGCCAAGAGCCTGTCACTAGATCTCAGATACAGCCACAGAGGCACTGGCCTGGGCAGTGTGGGAAATCTAAAGCAAAAATACACACTTCACTTTTGCTTTCTTTTTAATTTTTTCCCCCAACTTTTCAGGGTGTGTGTGACAGAGAAGATACATGTGAGAAAGCGTGTGTGTGTGTATATATGTATGCTCGTGTGTGTGTGTGTGTTGAGGCAGGATCTCACTCTGTAGTACAGGCTGGCCTTGAACTCAGAATTCTCTTGCTTTGGCCTCTTGAGTATTGGATAACATGCTTTACCCATGGGATGTCCTTTTCAACAGCATCAGGGAACAGGGTAGAAGGTAGGATGGCAGGTGGATGGCCAGACATCCAAGCCCCAGGTGGTCCAGGCACTCTGAACTCTCTTGTCACCAGAGAGGTAATTGTTCTGGATGCTGAGATGAGCCTGGTGATGGATGGGGGTGTTTTGTTACATTCTCCTGGAACTGACTCACCTCCTGGGCCCCTAGACGGATGGAGAGTCTTCAGTTTACAAGTAAGAAAAGCATAGTCATGTGTCACAGGCTTGCTGCTGTCCCCCCAGAGGCGGCATGCCCAGCCAAGGAGCAATCCAAGGATTTTTGTGCTGTGGTGGACTGGTCCATGCAGTGACCCTTGGTAGCTCTAGGCTTCTGCCCAGCTTCCCCCACCCAGAGAGGGTGTCAAGGCCACTCCAGCTGCAGTGTGCCTTGTCCCAGGGAAGTTTTCGGATTGGGCCAGTGCAGTCACATTAGAAGCTCACCAGAAGTCATTGCTCTAATGGGTTGAGGAACTGCAGTTCATCCAAGTAGAGTTTTGAGGGAGACAGACAGACCTCAACATTGCAGAAATTTTGGAGTTTGATGAGTCTGACGTCTGTAGTCCATGTACCACAGTGACTCCCTTGTTCCCTGAGGATATTTGCCTCTCATTTCAGATGAAGAGTATGAGTGTCGGGGATCCACGCACCTTCCCCTTCATCGAGCCCCCTCCACCTGCCAGCGTGGAAACTGCTATCCTCTATCTCCAAGACCAGGGGGCCCTGGACAGCTCGGAGGCCCTCACCCCCATCGGGTCCCTGCTGGCCCAGCTGCCTGTGGATGTTGTGATTGGTAAGGATCCCTTCCAGCAGAGCTCACAGACTTGCTCATCTGCAGTGACCCATAGTGACCCATAGGCCTTCCCAGGACATTCACAGACCAGGAAAGTGAGCGGTGTGCGCAGGGGTGTGATGGCACAGGTGTGACAGGGAGAGAGAGAGAGAGCATGCACAGGAGATGGACAGGAGGTATAGGGAGGGCTGGGCCCTACTATCACCTCTTGGGAAGCTGACAGCTGTGCGGACATGGGAATCGTGGAGACGAGGCATGAGCAAAATGGGTGGCGCATTCCCACATAAGCCAGACGTACCATGTGTAACTTTAGACTTGAGAGTCCAAAGGGAGGTGGGAGAGTCCAAAGGGCGATGAGAGACCGTTTTTGGTAATTCATTCTGCCTAAACAAACATACCCAAAATATTTTACAATGTCCAATTGGCATGAAATTTTCACGGTATTTGTGTTGTTTCTTCATGTAAGTCTCAGAAGTCCAGTGTGTGTTTTGTATTCCAGCACACATGTTTGGATCAGCTGCATCTGAGTACTTAGTGGCCATGCGTGACTAGTGGCCGCCATATTGGACAGATGTGGCAGAAAGGCAGGCCAGGCCGAGGCCAGTGCAGAGGCCATGTGGCGGGAACCGTCCAGTGTGATTGTGGAAGCCTGTGTGGCTGGCAGAGGAAGAGGGCAGATGAGGTCAGGGGAGGGGGGCACCTTAGAAGGGCAAGTAAGAAAAGACAAGCAGACTTCCGCTTCCAGGTCTTGCTTCTGGAAGTCGCTTTCTGAGGCGGCCTTCATACGTGTGTGGCCTTTGTGACTTCCACCCTGGTGTATCTCGGCCAGGTGCAGAAGGTGGTGGTGCAGCCATCCACCTCATCCTCGACTTCAGGTGTGGATGTGTGAGTAAGTGACTGTGAGGACAGACGGTTGTGTTATTGGCTCGGGTGAGTACATGAACCTCATGTTACATGATGCAGAAGACATTCATTCTAAAAGTCAAGAAAACAACTGGGTCGCATCGTGCTAAAAGGGAGGTGACACCACTCTGCTCCAGAGTGTTTCTGACTGGAAATGGTTGAGCATGGGAGAGCGGGGAAGGCAGTTCAGTGCTTTTAAAGGTGTGGTCTGCTGGGAGCCACATATATTCATCTTGTCTCAGTGACAATAATATTGTCATCAGGTGACAATAAATGCTGTGAGACTGAACAAAAAGAGAGAGAAGAAAAACAGGAGACAGCACTCAGGCAGGTCGGTGTCCAGACCCGGCATATGCGTGTGCTGGCAAGTACTCATGTGTCCTTGAGAACAGAACACGTCCGCTCTGCAGCCCCCTTCCTTCCTCTCCATTCTCCTCCCAGCCATCCCTGCCTGGTAGTCTCAAACACCCAACAGTGTGTGTAGTCAAAACCATACAAAGCCCCAACATTGTGATAGCAGGGTTTAGCCTTTGTATCTATCTTTCCACTAGAGCAAAGCTTCTCAACCTTCCCGACGCTGTGACCCTTTAATACTGTTCCTCGTGCTGCCATGGATACAGTCCCCAACAATAACATTATATTCATTGCTGCTTCATGACTAATTTTGCTACTGTTATGAGTCATACTGTAAATATTTTACATACAGATTATCTGATATGCAACACCTGCACAAGGGTTGTTCAGCCCCCAGTGAGGTTGTGTCTCACAGGTTGGGGCAGCTGTACTAGAGGCCCGCTGGTCTGCGTGACACAGTAAGCTTCTCCTTCCAGTAGCTTTGGCGTGCTGGCAACAGTGTTAACTAACCCCCAGCCTGTCATTAGACGCCATGAGCCAGGAGTGTTGGAGAAGCCAGTGGGACAGTGAAGAGCCAAACCCCAGTCTCCCAGAGCTCACATGTGCACAGGAGGAGGACAGGTCTACTCCTGGGGGGACACAGCACACTGCCCGTGAGGGCACCAGGCAGCAATGGGGCTAAAGTGGCACTCAAGCAGAGGCCTAATGGCAGGCAGGGACAGTGCTGCCTCTGGCTTGGGGTCAGTGAGAAGCTTTGGATGAAAGACTGGAATGTTTAAGGAGAACTCTGCTCTGTGTGTGGTGTGTGTAGGGGGTGAGCAGAAGATGAAGAGATCAGTCTGCTGAGTCAGGAGATGACCAGGTCTGGGGCCCAGTGAAGCCTGTGTCACCTCTGACTCCACACTGTTGAGGTTCAGTGTCCTGGAGCGGATGGGGTGAGCCTGTTTCTCCCCATCACTAAGGAGGGGCATTTGCCCTGAGGGAGTGGGCCTGCAAGCTCAGTCCTACCCGTGATGTGCTGTGAGGGCTCACTCTCACAGGGCAGTTGTCCTGCTGCAGATGTTAACACTGGGGGTGGGCGCGGCCTGAGGGGAGGATGAAGGTGCCTGGTTGAGCAAGATCTGATGAGCCTTTTACCAGCCTGATCCCAGAGGACTGTCAGCAGGGGGCCCACAGCTCTCAGACACAGGGCCTTTCCACAGCTCAGATCCACCCACTTCTCTGGACAGCTTGTCCCTGCCCGCTCTGCCCTGCTGGCCCTGGGTTGTCATTGGATGTGTCAGGCAGGCTGTCTCTTCCTTGTGCTCATTCTGAGTCACTCCTGTACCTCAGTTCTCCTGACTCATGATGTTCTGCCTCCGCCACAGCCCATGTTTTGCCACCTCAGCAGGGCCACCCACGCACTGCTGCCCAGCTCTGTGGATGAGGTGATCTCCCCCGTTCCCTGCAGAGCAGCCCAAAGTGGCTGGGTGCCATGGTCTCTGAGGCCTCCAGTGGCCCAGCAGATGGCTGGCTGTGTCAGTTTAGAAGGAGTTCAGGCTAAAGTAAAGGAACCAGAGCTGAGGGATGGAGAGCATTCGTGGGTGCTCTTGCCGAGCTGTGCCAGGGGAGCTTCAGGCTCTCACCCCATTTCCTCTCCTCTTGGTGAGGACGTGGCCTCTGATCCTCATCAGGATAGGTGAGGAATCAGGCTCAGCTAGGGATGTGCTCCAGGGCGTGGGGCAGGCACCGTCGGGGGAGCCGGAGAGCTTGTTGGCTTTATAAGCTCCACGTCATCTCCTGGCGTGGGTGTGAGTCTGTGACCTGCTTGTCACCTGGGGGAAAGCAAGCATGTACCGTGGCAGAGCAGAGGGCACGTGGCACAGACGGCCCCCGATGGGCTGGCTCTAAGTGACTCACAGTGAGATGCTTTTGGGGCAGTCCTGGGAAGCCCGCTGCTGTGTCTCACAGGCACAGAACAGGTGAATGATAGGAACCGAGGGGGATCTTGGCATTCTGGGGCCTCCTTCAGCCCTGGGCCTGACTAGCCTTGCTGCAGCCTCGATTCAGTGCCTTGCACTCCAAGAAGCACTATTCAAGGAGAACAGTGAGGATGCATAGGCATGTGACGGGCAGGCAGTCAGGGCCTGAGCTCCCAGGAAGTCCACACAGGTCCTCAGAGCCCGGGGATTCCCAGCTCCTCACTGACAGGCACAGGTATATGGACACGGGTTTCTACAGTGTGTGTGCCCATGGCGCATGACCTTCCCTGCCCCACCTCACCTTCCTTTCAGCCATCCCCCTCCCCATTTTTTCTACTCTTGCCTCTTCCTCCTCCTTCTTGAACTAAATGAAGGTTGTAGCCAGTTTTATTTGCTATACGTACAGTAAGCACCAGGTAGCACAGCCCAGGGCAGGCTGTGTGCAGGTCTCACTAGGGAACGAGAGCTGTGGCCATTGGGAGTCACGGAAATCAAGCCAGGGAGGGCTGGTGGAGGTCACGGGTAGCTCAGAGTTTGGCCAGCACTAAAAAGGGCCCTGTGAGCTGAAGGATGTAGGAACTTCGGTGGTGACCTCTAGTGGAGAGATGGGGAAATGGCGGCTCTTTCCCGAGGTCAGGCCATTTGGTTTCCAAGGCTCTTTGTGAGCAATGGAGAAGGAGGTGAAATCGGCCCCTGAATCACCCAGAGCAGAGAGCTGACCTTCCGAGGCTTAGCTCTGCCCCTGCTGCCCACAGGGAAGATGCTGATCCTGGGCTCCATGTTCAGCCTGGCAGAGCCTGTGCTCACCATTGCTGCCGCCCTAAGCGTCCAGTCACCATTTACCCGCAGTGCCCAGAGCAACCTGGACTGTGCCACCGCCCGGAGGCCGCTGGAAAGCGACCAGGGTGACCCCTTCACGCTCTTCAATGTCTTCAATGCCTGGGTGCAGGTGAGGCCAGGCTGGGTGCCTCTGTCGTTCAACCCGACTGGGGGACCTTACAGCTGTCCTGCTTCGTCTTCCTGAGCCCTGATTCTACCCGAGGAATCCCTGTCCCTGCCATTCTTGTTCTGGGGCTGGGAGTACGGTGGGGGTGTGGCAGCCAGCAGCCAGCCCAGGATCCACAGGGAACCTGACAGAACCCAGTGCTGTCTAGGTAAAAGTCAACCTTCTCGGGGTTCATTGAATACCCAGTCCAACATTCCTGAGCCCTCATCAGTGGCAGTTCAGGGTAAACTAACCAGCGTGCTGTCTGGGTGCTCCTGTTGGGGTACAGCGCTGGGGAAAGAGGCTAGGAGGGTCCCTTAGAGCGGTCCCCAGCCTGCCCCTGCTTCAGAGCCTCCCGAGCCAGGGCTTGCTCCCACAGCTGGCCAGGTTCTCACTCTGAGGTGTCTGCTCCTCAACCAGGTGAAGTCTGAACGAAGTGGAAACTCTCGAAAGTGGTGCCGCCGCCGGGGTGTGGAGGAGCACCGGCTGTATGAGATGGCCAACCTGCGGCGCCAGTTCAAGGTGAGGACTGGACCCTTCTGGGTGACCGGGACACCACCACATCACCATTCCACAAGGGGAGCAGGACTGGGGCAGTCTGAGCAAGGTGTCAAAAGCGTGGACCTTGAGGAGGGTTCTTGGGGAAGGCACATGGGTCATTGTCTGTATGGCATCCTGAGGGAGAAGCCCACCTTGGCCCAGGGTGCTGACCTGCAGCTCAGGCTGAGTTCTGAGGGGAGGGGCATTCAGGGTGACAGGACAGCCAGTGTATCTGCAACCCAACGTGGAGTGGCATATCCTGGCTCTGCCACGTTCTCACAGTGTGGTTCCCCCTGAGGCCCTGCCCTCCACCCCTACCCTGGGGCCTTAAGCGTCCCCTGGAAACTTCCCCTGGACGATGAAAGTAATGACACTCTTCAGTCCCAATGAACAGACACACATAGCTGCCCAGGTGCCACCTTATGTCCACGAGGCAGGCCGTGTGGACAGTGTGGCACTCTGGACACTGGAGGTGAGTGAGGCCAGCTGTGCTCTCCACCGTTGTGTGCTTCTGTTCTGTGTGCGTCTCTCCATCACTTAGGGGAAGCTCAGATACACAGCTTTGTGGTGGTCTGTAGCACGGAGGCAATAGGAGTTCCTGGGGTAGTCTATGGACTCGATGGCAGGTGGGTCAGTGCGGGCGCAGAAGCCTTTCTAGGCTCTCAGTGTTGCGCTCAGTCATTCCCCGCCCATGTCCGCAGCTTCTAGAGCTTTAGTCTATCTTTGTTGGTCTTGAACCCAGGGCCGTGTTCATGCTAGGTAAGTACTTTATCAATGAGCAGAAACTCCCAGTCCTCTTTTCTTCACAGGGCCTTATGTAGCCCAGGCTAACCCCAAGCCCATGATTTTCCTGCCTCATCCTCTTGAGTGCCAGGGAAACAGGTATGCATGGCCAGGTCTGGCTTGAGATTTGGTGTTTCTGACAGGTTCCCAGGCACAGTCCATCTTTGAGAGGAATCTTCTGGGGCCAGAGGACCTGTGCCCCATGTTAGCCCTCAAGTGAACCTGCAGGCAGCTCTGGGAACAGCTGTCTTGACCCTCCTGTGAGCCATCTGTGCCTGACCAGATGTTCCAGGGCTAACTAGTAGGAGCTATTCCCAGGGCACAGAACTCAAGGCTGGGGCAAAGGACTGGCCCCACCCCCCAGCCTTTGGAGTATGGGATACCCTCACTTTGCACTGAGGAGAACATACCAGGAAGTTATCACATGCCAGCCTGTGAGCCTGTGTCAGCCCAGAGCCCACTAATTGCGCCCACTCACCTGTGCCCTTCTCGTTCACAGGAGCTGTTGGAGGATCACGGGTTGTTGAGTGGGACCCAGGCAGTGGCCCCAGGGGACAGCTACAGTCGACTGCAGCAGCGCCGAGAGCGCAGGGCCCTGCACCAGCTGAAGCGCCAGCATGAGGAGGGTGGGGGACGCAGGCGCAAGGTGCTTAGGCTGCAGGAGGATGGCTGCTCCAGCGACGAGGACCACGAGGGCTCTGCCTCCCAGCGGGCTGACAGCGTTGACATCCAGGTGGGACAGCCAGGTACTGGGTCGGGGGTATGAAGGGGCATGGAACACAGGAGACAAACACCCCCAAGGGTGCCTCGCTCTCCCCCTGGGTGATTTCCATCGCCCCTCCCAACCCGTGCATCTTAACATAGCACCTTCTAGAGCAGGGGTGGGGATCCCTCAGAGCCACCACTGATCCTTGCCTTTACAGGATGTGAAATTCAAGCTTCGGCACAACCTGGAGCAGCTACAGGCAGCTGCCAGCTCAGCCCAGGACCTGAGCAAAGACCAGCTGGCCCTACTCAAGCTGGTGCTTGGGCGGGGCCTGTACCCACAGCTGGCTGTGCCCGATGCATTCAACAGTGGCCGCAAGGACTCGGACCAGGTAGAGTTCCTTTTCTCTCAACACGTTTCCTGAGCACCCACTGTGTTCCAGGAACTTAGTGTGACAGAAAGACCCTTGGCTTTGTCCCTGGGTCGTTCTGCACACTAACCAGAGGGGACAGGGCTGGAAGAGGGCAAGGCAGAGGGTCAGACCCAGTTTGGGCGGGAGTCCGACGGACTTCGTGGATGAGGAGGAACCTGAGTGCCATCATGGAGGAGAAGGACCTTGTCCCTGGGGAGGAGAGAGGGGGACTGGGTATTCTGTGGGACAGGTCAGAAGCCTCTTGTTCCAGTGCTTGCCTTTGGCCTCTGCAGATTTTCCACACGCAGGCCAAGCAGGGCACCGTGCTGCACCCCACCTGTGTCTTTGCCAACAGCCCTGAGGTATTGCACACACAGGGGCAGGAGGCCTCAGGCCAAGAAGGGAGCCAAGGTACAGTGACCCTGGTGGCACATGAGGGATGGTGGCACCTCCAGCTCAGGTCCCTCACTCGGGCGTTCCCTAGGGCTTCTTCTCGTCCTCTGTTTGTGCAGTGCTGTGGGAGGGAAGCTCCAGGGGAAGCTTTGCCGGCGGGCTGCAGACTGCACTGTGCAGAACTGCCCATGCCAGTGAGGCACTGTGGCTAGCACTGTGCTGGCCGGGCCGCCAGAGCCTCAGCTTGGTCCTGAGGAGGGAGGTTCTCCCAGCTTTTGTGCAGACACGCAGCAACAGGCAGAGCCACTGAGGCCCCTCGGGAGCCAGCTTACCCTCCTTGGCGTGGAAAAAAAGACAACTAGGCTCCGGATCGTCAGGGTGGAGGGCAGAGTGAACACTGTTAACCACAGTGACCTAGTGCAGCCCTCGCTGCTGGCATTTCCTTCTGCCCTAGCTCCCTTTCTGTGGTCATTCTTTGTGGTACTAGGTATTGAACCCACGACCTCACACAAGCAAGACAAGTGCCCTACCCGGCTACACCCTCAGCTTCTCGTTTTCTCCACTTTGAAAATTTCTGACTGTACGCGGCAGTGACGAGCCGTGGATGCTCTTGAGCAGCCTCAGCCGTGGCCACCGTCCCCAGCCTTGTCTGTCCACTCACTAGCTATCTGGAGGGTCGGGTCCATTTTTCCCTTTTTGGTCTTTGCTGGAGCATTGTATTTTCACAAATAACACTTCTACATTTATTTACTTTGCGTGCGTTCGGGGGCAAATATGTCACTGCATGCCCCGCAGGCAGAGGTCAGCCTGAGGGAGCCAGCTTTCCTTCCACCATGTGGGTCCCGGGGAATCAAACTCAAGTTGTCAGTCTTGGCAGCAAGTGCCTTTACCAGCCAAGCCCTGCTGGAGCCCTTGCCAGAGCATTTTAAAGCACATGCCAGACTTCATGTCATTTAATAACAAGGATTGTATGTGTCAGAATAGCACCGATGACCCCATCAAGGTGGATAGCCATTCCTTAGTGTCAGGCAGTAGCCAAACTTACAGGCTGTGGCAGTGTTTGTAATAATCCGAAGTCATCATATGCCAAGGGCGTGCGGTCTGCGTGCGGTCTGCGTGCTGTGTGACTACAGGCCTTGAGTGATGATGGGTGGTCATGCGTGTGGGGGGAGTCAGGTAGGCCTGAGCTGCCGCTTTTGCTTTTCAGATAACAAAGACCAAATGAGCTGCAAGCACCAGCTGCTGGCCTTCGTCTCTCTACTGGAGACCAACAAGCCATACCTGGTGAACTGCGTCCGCATCCCGGCCCTCCAGGTAGGCCTCTGCCTATGGTTGTGGGTGGTTCTCATTTGTGGCTCTATGCCATGGTTACTTGCTGAGTGCCCCCTGGTGCCAAGCACTGTCCCCAGCACCCCGAGGCATACTGAGGGGTCACATCCTCTCCTGCCCTTCTGGGCTCACGGTTCGGGGAAGCCTATGTCATGTCTTCAAGGGAAGCCAGAAGCACATGTGAGACCCTGCAATCCCAGCAGGTAGCTCATGAGTTCAAAGCTATCCTGGGCTATTTGAAATTGTGTTTAAAAAAAAAAATCACCAGGAAAATTAGGGCTTGGGGAGTGGCAGGTGGGGGCACCGAGTGGTACGACACGAACTGGTGACATGTGCTGACTGGCTGCAGTCCTGAAGGGACCGTGCCAGACTCACAGGAGTGTCCTTAGCTGAGGGCCAGCATGTACCAAGGCCCAAGGCAGGTGTGTGCTGCTGTGTACAGCTGGAGACTGGGACAGGCTTTGATGTGGTGGTTGTGGGAAGCCTCGTCCAGGAAGAGGCTAAGGAAAGTGCCAGGCCTGCCCACAGTCGCCTCCACGGGCTAGGTGTTCCGGTCTGCTCACAGGAAGCTGAGGTCAAGCCACCTGGGCCGCACAGGGAGAGGCAGACCACAGCTGTAGGGTCACGTGCTGCCACATGGATCCTCCTGTCAGTCAGATGTCTTCACTCTTCAAACCCCTGTGATTTTGTTCTCGGGGACGGACAAGAGCCTGTGTAGGGGGCCTCAGGAAGTTGCGGCTCATGACTCACTGAGGCCTTTTCCGCATGCCAGCCAGCATTACTGGGCTGGAGATCTGTCCCAGCCAGATGGGGCTCACATGCAGTGGGAATACAACCAGGGCTCCTGTGCAGTACAGAGAAAAGATGGTGTGGGACCCCGTGAGACAGCGGGAAGGAGACAGTCGCCATTTGAGGTGACAGACAGTCGCCATTTGAGGTGATGTCTGGATCCTCCTCCGCTCCCCTAGCTACGCCTTGCTTATGATGAGGGATCTCAGATGGACATCACCAGCCTCCAGTCTGTCTCCCCAGAGCCAGCCCTGCCCTTCTTGTGGGATTGGCTCTGCCTCGGTGTCAGGAACCCCTCTCCCTCTGGGGTCTTTCCAGCCTCTATGTTCCTGCCTCAGCCTCCAAGGACTGGGATTAAAGCATGTGTCTCCAGTTAACTACTTCCTTTTGGTCACACCCCCTTTTTGTGACCTCTCCCCCCCAAGGCACTTTGACTCTTAGGTTTCCAGGACATTCTACTCTTTTTTTTTTTGTTTGTTTTGTTTTGTTTGTTTTTTCGAGACAGGGTTTCTCTGTGTAGCCCTGGCTGTCCTGGAACTCACTCTGTAGACCAGGCTGGCCTCGAACTCAGAAATCCACCTGCCTCTGCCTCCCAAGTGCTGGGATTAAAGGCGTGCGCCACCACTGCCTGGCATTCCACTCTTTAATTTTGTCCTTGTCTCTGTAAGTTGAGTGTTGGCTGGGGGCTGGGCTGGCTCGTGCTGACCACTGTGTCTCTAGCATGGCACCGGAGCATGGCGGATGAAGCCTGCAGCACTGTTGGGTGGTTATAACCGAGTGGACAGGGGGAGGGGAGGATGTCTGGACGGGAGAACAGGCAGGTGAGGGGTAGACACGTGGATGGGTGGACAGGTGGGGGATGGGCATGAAGCTGGACGGGCAGGTAAGGGAAGGACAGATGAGGGTAGAAGGGTGGGCGGCTGGGTGGAGGGATAGGTGAAAGACAGGCAGAGGCAGACAGTGGAGTTCATGGATGGACGGGTGGACGGGTGGATAGATGTGATAGATGAGTAGGAGAGGGACATGGTGTACAGTGATGGGCAAGTAGGCGGTGGGCAGTGAGGGGTGAACAGGTGAGTGCATAGATGGAGGAGTGAGTGAGGGGCAGGCAGGGACGCAGCCAGGTGACGTCCATTGGAGGTGACATCCTGAGCTGCACAGCTCTCCTCTTGCAGTCCCTCCTGCTGTTCAGCCGCTCCATTGACACCAATGGTGACTGCTCCCGCCTAGTGGCTGACGGTTGGTTGGAGCTGCAGCTCACAGACAGCGAGAGTGCCGTCCGGCTCCTGGCAGCATCCCTGCGGCTCCGTGCCCACTGGGAAAGTGCACTGGACCGGCAGCTGGCCCACCAGGCCCAGCGACGGAAGCTGGAACAGGAGGACGACGTGGGGTCTCCAGCACTCAGTCCCCAGGAGGTGGCTGCTCTGAGCAGGGAGCTGCTGCAGTTCATGGCGGCCAAGGTACCACGTGGTGTCACTTAGTGGGGGCTCATTTAAGGACTTTTCTATTCAAAGAGGCTCAGTGGTCCCTGAGGTCACGTGGTTGATACCTAGAAGCACTGGTGTTTGGCTCCAGAGGCCATACTGCTAGACATCGCTATGTGCCAGTCACCGAGCGAGTGGTGATAGGTGCCTTCTGCATGCATGGTGTGAGTGAAGGATATGTGGAACACGAGGGCCCAGGGGTCTGAGGACAGAAAGGAAGATGTGGGCAGAGTGGGCTGAAACCACTCTCATGGGTGGGAACAGTCGCTTCTGATTCCGAGCCATGGGAGTCCAGGGAGAGAGATGAATCCAGGCTGACATCAGCAGGGCTGGGAGTGAGGGGCGGGAGGGGTGAGAACGGGCCTAAGCAGTTGGGGAGAGGGGAGCAGGCCTGAGGCACCTTGCAGGAGGGGCAAGGCAGCCAAGGGCTGGCTGTGGTCTCTTCAGCTGGAGGCAGCAGAGGGTGAGCCTGGGGAGGGTGGCTGGAGGAGCCACCGGGGCCACGAAGGTCTGAAAGCCAGTCGGGAGTGGCTTAGGCAAAGTCCGAGGGAGGCCTTTAGGCAGAGCTGGCTCTGGGGGTGCCCGCTCCTCTCTGTCCCTGCTCTCCCTTTTCTCTAGGTGCCCTACCGCCTCCGAAGGCTCACTGGTCTAGAAGCCCAGAACCTCTATGTGGGACCCCAGACAATCACGACTGCCCCTAGTCTGCCCGGCCTCTTTGGAAATTCTGCCCTGTCCCCACACCCCACCAAGGGGGGCTACACTGTCTCTGACTATCTCACCTACAACTGCCTCACGGTGAGTGAGGTCACTTTCGGCTCTGGAGTGGGTGGTCGGTCAGAAGCTCCAGGCCCAGCTGCCAGCCACAGTCACACTTTCACCCCGTAGGGGCTGGGAGGCGCCAGCCGCCGAAGCAGGGGTCCCGACACATTTCCTCTGTTGTAGAGTGACACTGATCTGTACAGTGACTGTCTGCGTTCCTTCTGGACCTGCCCACACTGCGGCCTGCACATGCCGTTCACACCCCTGGAGCGCATTGCTCATGAGAACACCTGCCCTGAGGCACCGAGTGACGGTGCAGGCAAGTCTGTGTGTGTGTATGTGTGTGTGTGTATGTGTCTGTATATGTGTGTGTGTGTCTGTGTGTTTGTATGTCTGTGTGTTTGTGTGTCCGTATATGTGTGTGTATGTATATATATGTGTTTGTGTCTCTGTATGTGTCTGTGTGTATGTGTGTCTATATGTCTTTGTGTGTGTCTGTATGTATGTGTCTATATATCTGTGTGTGTGCCTGTGTGTTTATATGTCTAGGTGTTTGTGTGTTCATATGTGTGACTGTATGTGTATATATGTTTCTGTGCGTGACTGTCTGTGTCTGTGTGTCCTGTGCCAAGAGTGATGTTCGTAACCACTGTCCATCACACATTACTTCCTGTGTCTGGC